GCAAGTCAGAAAGCGTAAGGAGGGTGCACATGGATTCTTTCAGGTTTTCCCATATGATCCAGCAATGTATTCTTACTACATCTCTATAATAAATCTTAGCCATGAGTACAACTATGTGGGAAATGCTGTAAAACCTATAAGCAAATATCTGAATGTGAGGGTGATTTGGGGGACAACTGGCACAATGGTAGCAGTAGCAAGGTTTGTTAAAATGACCCCAACTCACTAAAATATAGTTACAGTATTTGAGGGAGGAAGACAGAAAGGTGGGCAGGAGATGAGGAAAGCTTGGTATGTAGGCTGCTATGCAGTTAAACATAATATGAAATAACAGCTTGTTTGTGGTCGGAGTTACCTGTGGAATTTGAAGAGTATAGATCCACCTCCAGAAGAGTTGGATTTCTGGATTGCCCCAGATGTTTTTGGCCATGTAGAGGTGGTTGATTCTGCTGAAGTGAGGGAAAAGTAGCATAGCCAGGTGAAGATTCTCTCTCTATCTCTCTCTCTCTCTCTCTCTCTCTCTCTCTCTCTCTCTCTCTCTCTCGCTGTCTCTCTCTCTTCAAAGCCACAAGACAAAGGACTGAAACATTCTTCACAATGGGCTTTGGATGTATCAAATGCTATAAAACTTAATCTGTAGTCGCTCTTTTCTCCATGTAGGAAAACAAAGGTTAAATTTGTTTCCAGACCTGGAGCAAAGCATTGGATAAAGCAGAAGCAAAAAAGGAAGCAGGGGAAAAACAACACTCTCACTATCTCTTCAGCCTAGCTCCTCCTGCACCTCCCCACTTCCCCATCCTTCCATTCCAGCTGGGTTCTCCTGGCAGCTGTGATGTGAACCTCGTGAGTGACAAATGCAGTACTAGGTATTTGAGTAAACTTGTAATGAGAAAAGAAAGGGAATTTTAAAGCACAGCTTTGCATTTATGGCTATTGCATCTGGGTGAATGATAAGGTTTAATGTAAAATGTTTCTGCTTATAGTATCATAAATGCCACATGGATCATCTCAATCAGGGAAAGCTACAAAGAAAAACATGTGTTCATGGGAGAGAGCTCCCTTGCTTCTTCCCACAGGTGGACAGATTGGAATTGAAACTGTTAGTATTGGAAACGAGGCCCTATAACTAGTGATTTTTTTCCTATAATTTTATTTGTTGGAGCCCCTAGAAAAAGGGAGCCAATCTCCAGATAGAGAAACACTTTTTGAAGTTTGAAAAAGTGGAGGTTTTGGAGCTTTTGTTTTTGTTTTGCTTTTGCTAATGAGCTCTTGTGACATCAGATTCCTGACCCTTCTGAAAATCAGAAATGATTTTCTGGTAAGATATGGTAATGATTTTCTGGTAAGATGTGCATATTTTTATGAGGGCTAATTTGAACAATCTGGCCCAAGAAGATAAACTGCTTGTGAAAATTTAGCTTGTTACTTGAATTTGGCACATGGGTGTCTGCCCCTACAGCCTCAGCTCTGCTGCTGCTGAAGAAACATCCCTTGCTTTTTTGGAACAGTTAATTCATAGATCCTAATTTCCTGGACCTGTCCCTAAAATGAAACTTTATACTGCTAAGGACTGGTTCGATTTCAATGACCAATTATGCTGAACCTGAACCAGAAGCAGGTGCAGATTCAATAAACAGGCTTTGGACTCCAGCTTTGGACTTTTAGAAACTGAAGACACATCTGTCTTTAAGCTATAAAGCATTGTGGGTGCTGGCTGGACCATTTGGGTCACTTGTGGATGCCCTAATGGCTTGTTTTCTAACAGGACTGTTTGAAATGTAGCTGCTGATCAATTCTATATTCCTGATATAAGAGCCGATTACATTCTTAACTTGTGATTTCTAGTGAAACCTGCAGTTGGGAGCAGGGCACATCACAGGAAGTGTGTCCCCTGATACATGGACAAGATGTCTCACTGCTATTAACTCATGTTGTTCCACTTTCCAGATCCACTGCAGTTTGCAACAACAGACTGAGTCTTTCTCCTGCTGCACACACTGTAGTAAGGCAACTTGATCATAAAATTCAGATTTCCCCAGAAAGGAATTAATCTTGCTTAAATTGCTCACTGGATAAATGATCAGGATGAAAGGCCTGAAGAGAAGATGTGTAGATCCATTTCGAAAAAATATCAACAAATCAGGAATTCACCCCAAAGAAGATTTCTTGGCCATGGCGTGTCTTACTGGTTCTGTTATATTCAAATGTTATTCAGTGAAAAATGCTTTTGTCCCTTTTGCAAACAATTCTTCCAGATGAAATGTCTGGGTCAATAAAGAGAAATTATTAGGAAAAATTGGAAAGTTAGGATTATTGAATGAGAATCAAGAATCTTGATTCTTGTAACAATCAAGAAAACAAAACAACCCAGAGGGAGGCTTAAAGGAGGGAGTAGGGCATTAATGACTTTGAAAAAGAACTTCTGGAAGCTTTCTCCTTTTTCTGAAGAAAAACTCTGTGGTGCTGTTTTGAGCATTTTTGGATTAAGATCCATGACTGAACCTAAATGGCATGTGATGGCACAATTCTGAGACAGCACAACTCTGGGCCAGCTCCTGTAAGTCTCTCAGGACACCTCTGGATGCCATCCATACCAGTCAGACAGATGGACTAGTATCACACACAGAGGCTTGGGGCCTCAGGGAGCCCCTCTAGAACCATGAACTGAACTGAGTTACACTGGACTGAGCACCCTGGCATGAGAATCATCACACTAGGAGGTCACAGCGGAGTCCAACTGACAAACAGCAAATCGGCTCAGGGTGCCCCTAACATTGTCAGCTCTTGGTCTCCAGGGAAGCACAAGGAGCCCTCAGGGATTGTACTTCTCCTGTATTTGCCCCGACTATCACAAAACTGCCTCCAGTCCTGGAAAATACTTAGGCCATCTTTAACTTACTGGCCAAAGCTCTGCTGGAAAGATTAACAGGAAGGCAGCCACCTGGCTGCCTAAGGTAGTTTTTTATTGCTAATGGGATATGTTTCAGGACCCCTAAATAACAGATCAATACTGCTGGTTGGTCTCACCTTCCTGTGTGGGCTCTACTGATAATTCTCCTGTAAAGACACATTGGCCAGGGTCCCAAAGTGTAGATTGTGCAGAAAAGAATTAACAAGCAGGTCTGAGTCTACTGTCCTTTGAATAGTCCTCTTACAAGGTTGCCTCTCAACTGGTATTTGAGGACTTGGATTTAGGAAGCGTTCTAATCGTTCCTTAACTCACTGACCCTAAACTGTGCAAACAGTGTGGTTCAGGATGAACACATACTTTCTGTGTGCTTGGAATTTTGATACATGCTAGGTACAGGTTAGAAAAAAGTGAGCAGTCCTGATGAAAACAATAAACTCTGAATCTCAAAGAGTTTATATGGGCAGACATACCCAGAGAGTATTATAGACATGGCATGTTGCTGAGCTTTCATTGCTAGGAGAAAAGTGTGCCCTATATGACCCCTCTTATGGGATGGAAAGGACCTAAGGAGGTTTGCACATGGATTATTCCAGACTCGGCATGTGTCCTTTCCCTTTATGATGCAGCCGTATCCTCTCACTCTATCACTCCTTTCTTATCCCTGAACACAATTATATGCTGAATGCTGAGTTCTACAACATCTCCAAATGGGATGGTAATCTGGAGGTTCTCCAACACAGTCACCACTGTAAATATCAGATATTTTCTTATCACACTGTAGATGTTGCAGATGTCTGGAAATTTCAACTACATTTATCACTGCTTTGAACTTAAGGTAAATATTAGATCTGCCACCAGGTAATTTCTCTCTTGAAGTTTTGTGATTATAAAGAAGCACATACATTATTATACCACCTATAAAATATTTCAATTATTTAATGTTTTCCCTTAACATAATTCCTTTCATGTTTTTCTTTAACATAATCCTAACTACTTTATTTGCTACATTACTCTGAGAACCTCATCGTGAGATGTCCACAGGATTCACCAGACTGCCAAACAGATCTGCACAAAAGAAAGTAGAGACAGCAGGAAGCTGGGTGTGGTGGCACACACCTGTCACCCCAGTACTCTGGGAGCCTGAGGCAGAAGAATTGCAAGTTCAAGCCCAGCCTCAGAAACTTAGCTAGGCCCTGTCTCAAAATAAAAATTTAAAGAGGGCTGGGGGCTATAGCTCAGTGCGAATGTCCTAGCTTCAATCTCCAGCACCACAAGAAACAAGGTGGAGGGCCAGGGATTTAGTTCAGTGGCAGCACGCCTGCCTTGCAAGTGCAAGGTCCTGAGTTCAATCCCCAATACCAAAAAAAAAAAAAAAAAAAGAAGAAAGAAAGCAAGAAACAAGGTGGGGAGAGCAGCAGGTTTCAACGGTGAAGTCACTTTATAATTTCATATGATTCTTGTTCAATGTGACAGTCACATTTCTGAAAGGTGAGGTAAAATTAGGATTTTATAATGTTGAGCTTTGTGAAACTATAACCCTTCTTTATAGAATATATGTTTCTTGTGGAACTTTAGTTCAAATCTATAATTGTGTACAGAAAACTCCCAAAACAAAAATGTGAAAATCTATTTCACCTTCAGGTAGCTTTCTGATTACAAATTGCCTCTTTATTCCAGTCTTCTATGATGGAAGTGGCTCTGATGATATAGTCATCTCTCATTTACAGTGGGACACTATAACATTAAATGTCATGAGATTACTTATGAATATACTTGTTACTTATGTTGGTTAGGTTTTAATTGGTTTTGAACACTTATGTAAACCCTGATGAAAAATTTTTAAACATTTTAATGGTTAACACTTTAAAATTTAATATTTCAAATTTGATTTGAACAGGTTCAATGGAGAGAGCGGCTCCATTTGTGAAAACAACTTAGTACCCTGCTATAGCATAATACCCTGCTCTTTCCTTGAAAATATTCTGAGGTATGTTACCTGTTGGCAAACATTTTCCTTCACAATGAAACAGTATGAACAGAGGATTTTTACACTGTCTGTAGCTTAAGTATTTCTTTAATTGAATACAAAACACTCTGCATGTGAAAATAACAAGAAAGTTTATTTTTACATTTGATACTCTTCTGCCAACATCGTTTTATCTTTCCTCTATGGTAAACTGCACTTGAGTAGCCCACATGCCTTCATAAGTTCGCACAGAGCATTTCCAGCATCATATCATCCATACTGACTGTGCCAATGATGGGCCTGAAGAACAATTCAGCAATGACATTGGCATTGATGAATCTCAGCAGGAAGAGGGCACTGTTCAGTTCGGCAAATCTGGTCTGGTAACCTCTGTGCGTCATCCTAATGTGTTCATTGAGGATCTGCTGCGTTCCCCACTGAAGTCCCTGAATGTACTTCACACACTGCAGGCCTGGCAGGTCTGGAAGGAGAAAAATCTCTTTGTTATAAACAGCTCACCACAGAGATCTTTGCTACATCAATTAGAACACATGAATTTCTGTCACTTCCCCATGAAGTAAGTGCTCAAGCATTCTGGTTAAGGGGTTTTCTAGAGCAAGGATAAAATGCCAAATTAGTTGGAAATTTTCAGAAACAATTCTAAAAATGCAACATCAAGTAATTATTTTTATTTAATATTCTCTGGGTCTGTATACACACAGATAAAAAACACTGGCTGTGAGCCAACAAAGGCACACTTAATTTAGCAGGAGAATATAGTTTAGTCTCTGCTCCAATTAACTTTTTATGCAATGAAAAAAATTAACACTATTTCAAGAAAAGAGCGCTCTGAGAAACAGAGCAACATGGCAAGAAGTTTTGCCAGACAATAAATATTTTGCCATTCTTCCCCGAAATTTCCCATCATTATACCGATTGTCCAGCCAATGGTGGAGAACTTCACAGCAACAAAATATGACTCACATGTTTCATTTTAATTATTTGCCAGCAGGTTAATATTATGCTAAGCCCATAATAATTTGAAAACAAATGCTGACCACTTAACACATTGCACCATGATTTCTGAATTGGGGCAAGTTAAATTTTGTGATTCTAATGAGTGTTCTAAAAGACTCTCTAAAGTACATTAAAAGGAAAGGTTTTTAACAGGATTTTCTTACAGCCATCAAAAGGTAAAAATATAAACATGAAAACACCATGGATTGCAAGCAACATGATTCAAAAGTAACTTTTTAAAAACAGAAAGTGCATGACATTCTTGTGGTGCAGTGTGATATTTAAGTAAAAATGAATGAAACGCAACATAGAAAAGATTAAGTGCACATAAGTTTTATAAGGAACATGATAAGAGGAGGCTGCTTTAAATAATCTTTTGTATTAATGAAAAATCTTTTGATCTTCCATTATAATAATATTCTTGCAAAGTACTTTATATTCAAGTAATTTATAGTTTCCTGTTTTGTTTAAATGATGTCATTGATAAACACAAATGTTTTCTTTACTTTTTCTACAAAATTCATCAGACAAATAATTTTTTTTTTTTTTGGTACTGGGGATCGAACTCGGTTCCTTGTGCTTGTGCAGCAGGCCATGAAACCACTGAGCTAAATCCCCGTCCCAGAAAAATAATTTTTAAGTATTGTGGAAATCATCACAAGTAGCAGAATCAGTGTTCTTTAAAAAATAATAATGCTGACAGACAAGAGGTACTCCTATTATAGACAAATATCAAATGTGATGAAGGAAGTAAGAACAATCTAAAGTCACACTTCTAACCCATATTCCAATTCTGATTACCTCAGTCCACACATTATCATCCCCTACTACCTGTAGCTCAATACCCAGTTTACATCCTGTTTTATTATGCATGGATGCCATTGAGAAGCACCTCTAGGCCTACATGCATGGCTACTGAAAACTTCATTTTGTAAACTCCACATTACTTTTTTCTATTTTCATACCACAGCCCCCCATATTCCTTATCCAAAATAGCTTTTCCAAACAAACAAAACAAATGTTTTCAAAGTAGTCAGAAAAGAGGAAAGGTAGATGCCACTGTTTTATA